ACGCAAAACGGGACCCCTCTTTTTGGCCGTTGGTTTTCACTCATGAACAGGTAACAGCTCAGAAAGCGGACGTATGAACGAGTTCACCGCAACGCGTTTGGCACCATGCCAAACCACGCTCCAATCGAGTTGCTCCAGTTGTGCCGCTGCTGGCAACGCAGCTCGTCCAAATCACCAACTAAACTAGTGGGCGGATCGCTTTTGGGGCGGAGTGCTTTCGAAAAGCGCCGCACTCGCTTCCTTGGCAGCCAAGTAACTGCTTCGTGTGGTGCATATGCTTCCCCGACGCGCTCCCACTTTATCATAATCGCTGCCTTTAAAAGACAAGATAGTCCTCCTAATTTCGTTCTGTGTGGAAAACAGGTAACCTTGAAATTATTCAAATCACGCAGTAGCCTTCAAATACACCCTAGCCACAACAATTTTGTGCAGCTGTTTGTAGCATTCAGTCCCCCCTTCATCCAAGCCGAACGCTGCTAACCATTGTTTTACGTTGATTCGAATGTAAGCTTCCGGTATTATCTCAACTCTGAAAGCCTTTTTGTAGCCTCTCACCACATATTTACGCCATGTTGTTGATGTCTTCCGAATGATGGGCTACAATGTCACGAGTGGAAACACCCCCGTCGAATGGGACGTTCTTTGGACTCATGAATATTCGCTGAAGAACGTCAAGTACACGGATCCGATACGAGAAGCGAAGGCTCATCAGATAGTCAACCATATAGCTGGTTCCGGATTCTACACTAGCAAGGTAAATTTCAAGTAACAGCCAATCAAAGTTCCGCCGAATGTGGTGAAATTGCTTTAGTCGGGTGCAAATTATTTTACCGCTGATCGAATCGCTGGATTCGGAAAGTCTGACACCGTGCCATTCCGGTCGGGCCCGCCCACTACAGTAACCACTTTGGTCAGGCCCTCCCCACTGTTCATGTCTGTTCCAAGTGCACAAGTATCACTTCATATCCAAAACAGAGGTGTCGGATATGAATTTCGGTTTTCTTCAATAGATTTTGGCATAAGCCTCGCCCATCAAGCTGGGCTGTACCTTCTATCGTATCCGCTTCTTGCCAAGCCCGTACGTCCAGTGAACAAGCGCAGATGTTTTTTTTTAGATTCTAAAAATGGAGGTTTTGGCTGCTCAAGTGATTTTAGCATCTGCAATGCCCATCGGGTCGGGCTTCGCCCACTACCGTACTATTTTGAATCTATTTTTCAAGAGTGTCAAACCGAATACGCTTCACTTTTATGACATATAGTCGTGCCAGGCGGACCAGTAGTGAAGATTGCATCGACGGAATCCGCAAGACACGCCAAAACGTGGGATTCCGATGGGTGCCCACAACACCTCTGCAAGCAAGAGCGTGCGCTGGCAAATGCTCAGAAGACTGAAGTCCTTGTGCCTGCAGCGAGCAGTAGACCCGGCCTGCTTCCCTGTGCCCGATGGGAACAAGGAACCGGCGCGCGCCGATTGCTTGTAGAGCGATGGAATATGATGGAAGATGGAAGCCGCGGACGAAGGCGAAGGAGAGACTCCCGAGCAGGGTCAATCCTACGTTGTTACTAGTAACAACGGGGGGGGTCGTACCTGGTTGAGTTTATAGGGGGGTCGTATCCGCTTCAGTCGCGTGAAATTACATGTGAGTTTGTGGTGAAAGTGGAGTTTTCACGAGTAGTAGGCGAGGTAAGCAAACCAGCCCTTTTGGCGCTTCTGCTGGGGCCGTATGCTGAATGTTGGGGAGGGGATGGGGTCCCCAAGGTCGACGGACTACTTCAACTCGGTCGGTACGGTAGGAGAGTGATGACGAAGTGGTGCAGCTAGGTCCAGCAGCTCCGCCAAAAGGGCTGGTTTGCTTACCCCAGGACTAAGCCTTGGAGAGAGGACGGACCTCTCTCTCGCAGGTCCGTCCTCTCTTTAAGGCTTAGTCCTGAGGTAAGCATCAAATTGAGGCGGTTTTAAGGACCGAGTTGAAGTAGTCCGTCGACCGTCGGGGACCCCATCCCTCCCCAACATTCAGCATACGGCCCCAGCAGAAACGCCAAAAGGGCCTTGTTTGCTTCAGTTCGTAGTGGCCAGGTAGTTTTGGCGCGATGGAGGCAATATATGCCGTTTAAGTGCGCGTATATACCCGCGTATATAGCGCGTATCTAGAGAGGAATATGGTGGTCGAGGTGTGGAAAAGGGGGTCGTACCAAGTCCACCTTGGGGGAGAGGGGTCGTAATAATTTTTGAAAAAGTAACAACGATAGGACTGACCCTGCTCCCAGGCCCGCTCAAGATCGCGCGAAGTTTAGATGGATACTTTATCCTACCCCTTGCCAGCGTTCCCTTCCAGCACTTTACTCGAGGTCGTGGCGCTGGTCACAACACTTATGCAGGGACTGACGTGATTACTATCGCTGCATCCGTTCCCATCAGGACTTATCTCTCACATACATATTAGGTATGGTTGGCAACTTCACATCGACTTAAAGGCATACCACAATCGTTCAAACTTCCGAAGCAGAAGAAAGAACTCCTCACATATGCACATCAACACCCAAACATCATGTGGGTTCAAAAGGACAATTCCCACAGGTAGGACCGTTCCCGATCTCGTTTCCATGGATATTCGGCACGTAACGATCATTTCGATTAGAGCATAGGCCTTTTGAGAATTTTGTGGAAAAGGCTTGCCTAAACTTATTGACTATTCAACTAATTCGATCCAGCGCAAAAAAAAGCGTTAAGGCCGATGTCAGACTTTGCGAATCGCGCGATTCGCTAGCGTCCGCGGTCGCGTTGCGGTACCAGCCAATTGAGTGATTCACTGGCCGCGACGCGACCGCAGACGCTAGCGAATCGCGCGATTCGCAAAGTCTGACATCGGCCTAAGACCAGGCTCACTGGCCGAATACTTTTGAACGCCGCAGTATATTCCGCGCGTTCCTGGGTGGCTGCAATGCCATCATTGTGTAACTATGTATGAATTGATACCACTTAGAACCAACACTAAAAAGAGATAATTGAGCCCAATATGCGATAATGAAGTTGGAAGTCAGGGTTTTTCTGTTTTGTTTCCTGTTCCGGAATTTCTCCGTGACCAAACGAGAACACCTCTGCAACGCGTTTCTCAGATATTCAGTCCCAGGCAGCGGACACAAAAATTTACCTCAATAAGGGACTCCCAAAATATAGTATATGCTTCGAATCTTACAGAAACATCCAAGTGCGAGAACTGAAAACTATGAATCTCGAGAAGGAGAACACCTTTGTGCAAGAGTTTGTCAGTAATCCACTTCTTATTGACAACCGGTCAGTTTCCGAGAATTACCAATTAAGCTTGATCCAAAGGGTATTCTTTCGCAGAAAATTCGACATCGGAGTTTATACTGTGATAACGTCCATTAATCCGCTAAGGGTTTACGTCTATGAAGGAGATTCACTTCTCAGGTGAGCATTCCAAGTTCCATTCAAATTTCCCAGTAGATACCACAAATTTTGCAACGATGAAACTCCATCGCAGGTCTTAGCGTGCAAGGCTCAATTGCAATGTATCACTCCTGCATTCGTAATGGTTTAGTACATTCCTGCGCAGAACATCGAAGGAGACGAACGGCCAAAGAATCTCGGTATCCCCGGCTCTCCTCGGTCGCCTGTCGATCGCGGAGATACCCCAGGTACGGTTAGCGTAGCCGGACCCTCACCGAGAGCCCTCGCGGAGAGCATAACATACCAGGACGGGGTCCCTTCACCTGTTGGGAGAGCATAGCATAGGGCCCCTGCACGTTGTTTCACACGCCTTCCAAGGAGACGCTGGCTGTTGGAGTTTACCGGGTGGGAGGGAGGGCAAAAAAGTCACTTTCCTCCACATTCAAAACGGAATTAATACGTTGCGAAACCAAACCAAATGAGCCCAACTGAATATTAAAGAGCACATTCTAATCTATCAAAAAGTTACATGACAGCCTTCTACACCGACGACATCAGAAGATTTTCCCACGGAAACATGGTTCACGGTACGAGCTCAACGAGGTCGTCGAGGTACCATAGACCATTACGACGTCCCTGAAACGCTGGTCAAAAGCGGTCTTGCACAGTCACAGCTAGTGTCTTCTAGAAGTTAGGAAGCTATTCACAGTTAATCCGATTGAAGAAATTATGTAGCAGCTTCAGGCCGGAGCGATTACGGTAAGCCTCGTTGAGCTCGACGGTGGCGGCAGATGACGTCATATTCTGAAGACGGTGGGGGCAGTGAAGGAGGGCCTGCTTCTGCTTACGGGGGAGGGGGGGGGGACACCTAAGAAATACTCTGCCGTAAAACATTCATTAACAACGTATGCTGTGCGACGAAACTTTGATGATGTATAACAAGAATGAAGTGACTTTTTTGCCCCCCCCCCAGAACATTTGCACCCGCCATGTCCTTTAAGTTTTTGCGTTACCATCCGTAAGTCGGTAAATGGGCTCTTACCCGTCGGCTGCGGACTGGCACTGAAGTCGTACCGCCAACTGAAGCGCCGTCCACGAGTGCTGTAGTGTCGATCGGTGTGTACATACTGTGACTCCATTTAATCCGGTTGTAACCACTTGGCAAAATAAATAGATTAATCAAACTTCCGCTAAGAGCTTACAGTCGCAAAAAAATCAAGACGAAGAAAAAAGCTCATGATCAAAAACAAAACTCAGCTTTTTGCAGATTCTGCGCTGAGGATTATTTGCCTTTTGACTCGAGCAGGCTTGACAAGTATGTCGTCGGTGATGATTACACACCAATCTGGGAGGTGAACAGCTCACTTGACCACAAAATTCTGAATCTGAAGGAGCATATCCAGAAACACTATCCTGATCTGCTATTTATATCTGTCTCAACGAATCGTTTAGATGCCGTCGTTGAAACAACTGTTTCCGAACGAAAACTCGGATGGCGGGCTTCATTCGACACCTATTTGAAGTCGAAAGGAATGGATCCAGTAAAAATCTGGAATCAAATTCATCTCATCATCGCAGAGGTAAGATCTGGTATGGGTCACTAGAACAAGGCTCGGCGCTCCTGCTTCGACAGCTTTGAACGGCTAACTTAGACTTGTGTTACGCAACGAAAATATGTCTGCCCGTGAACAAAACGCGATTGAGCAGCGTCGGACGTTGAGACGCGCACCCGCGTCACAATGTCCGACGTGGTGCGCGAAGTGAGACGCGCAAGCGTGCCACGCTATCGTCATTTTATCAAAATTAGCTAAATAATTAATAGCAATTTTATCAATCCTGGATTGACTAAAACGGGAGACGGTTGCCGGATTTCGTTTATCACTGTCTATTTCGACTTACTCTTAATTAACACCGTGCTAATCTTTGAAAATGGACAGAGAAAAAATCGACTGGATTAAGTATAGCCTTGCCACAATGGTCAAATACGGTGCTGAATCTAATAATGAAAGCCCATCTATTTTTATAGGTATTTCACAACCAACAGCCGAGGATGCTTGCTGCGTTCAAGTCGCTGCCCTCAAAAGCAAATTTCTTTGAGCTCAGTCGTTTCGATTTCATAGTCGACGAACAGCTCAACGTCTTCCTCATGGAGGTGGGTACTGCGTCAGAAATTCCATCCAACATTACATTTACGAACCAAGACTCAAATGGAAAAACTAGCCAGCGCATCGCCAAAGCCCGGACGAGTGGATGTGTCAAGTGTACGATGTGAGTAGAGAACAAAAAAAAATATAGCGAAATGCCACGAAGTAGAACGCGACGAAGACAGTCTGCCCTCCAACAAAAGATTGCACAAAGCGAAGAGAGAGGGGAAAGAGAATCCCCTCTATACATATTATTGAAGACGGATTTCAAGGGTCGAAGGTCTAAGAAGGGGGAATATAGCTAGTTGAAGGGCGGGTGAGCTCCCTGAGGGTGCGGGGCGATGCGCGTTTCGCAGTGAAGAGTATGCCTCCAGAGGCCAAGCAGGGCCATATCAGCGCCGCTGTCCACCCAGTTCGCCGTCTGACTCTAGCCGCTCTATCAGAGAGAGAGAGAGAGTTAGCGTCAGCACCCATGAGACATGTCTAATGCTCATATCTAGAGGTACCAATTTTCGGGTTCTATACTATTTTCTCTTCAATACCTGCCATCGCTGGACCACCGCTCCTAATCACGTTCACGGGCCAGGGTCAGTCCTATCGTTGCTACTTTTCGAAAAGTTTTTACGACCCCCTCCTTCAGGAAAAGTTTCCATACGACCCCCCCTTTCCTTTCCGACCAATTTTTACCCCAAAAAATTACCGTCGAGCGGGGAGGCCCCTACAAACTCACCAAAATACGACCCCCCCCCGTTGTACTTGTTTGCACATAGGATTGACCTGACGCAGGCGTGCTTTCGCGTAAACTCGCTTAAAGAGGAACACACACATCATCTTGGTGTGGTGATTCCGTTTGAATATGAAAGTAGAAGTGCGAAGTGGAGCGCCAACTAAGAAAAATTGGAAACCATAGAGAACACCGGATTTGCAAGCTTACTTGTTTCTGTGGTGGAGTCAATGTGGCAGTCTGCGAGATACAAGTCAATGAAAGCCGAGTAGGCGCCCATGCTCTTGGAGAGGAGGTGGGGACATTTAATACAGGGCAACCAACACTCGCTGGTAGGTGACTCTAGGACCAATCCAAGGAAAGAGGAGAAACGCCAGGGAGAACAAGAATTGCTGACATGCTCCCCCAGAATCCTCTCCTCTTCCTAAAGTTTAGTCCCAGGCACTGTGAGTGGCTCACTCACTAAAATGTCTCCCTCCCCCTCCCCTAACGACATGGGCACCGCTGAGTAGAGTGAGAGTGGACGATTGAGCATAGCGAGTAGCAATACGAAATGAGTGATCACGATCTGTCCCTTGTGTTCACCCCTTGCTCATCTAATTCCTCGAGTTCGCATCAGGAACGATTACGTTCCTCACCAAAGTACTCCAGTGGATCCCGATCGCTCCGGAGCGCCTCATTTCTCCTGAGCGGAGCATTTTCGAAGGCGTGACGTCATCTGATCGGGTCGGTCGGGGTGTCGCGGTTCGCGACTGTGGCCGATCGCTCAGGTGTTTGATGCCCCGAGGAATACAGTTGGTAGGCCCCGGTCTATTGGCTATAATAAGATCGCATGACATGTTCGGGAAACTGGTTTCCCATTAACTGACACAATTAACTGACAGCGCCCATGATGCCTTCTCACTAGTGAGCCCAAATATCCGGCTTTTCCTCCTACGCGTCTCATTGGGAGACACTTAACATTGAAAAGGAATATGAAAAAAGAAAAGGGAATTAAGTACTCGTAGAAGGTCGCGAAGAATTCAAGCAAGTCTCATAAAAAAGAGGGGATACTCAAGTCTATCGATATTTCAGGCTAATATGTCACCAAACCTTTCTTCCGAGCATTTCAGCCAGAATCAAATCCTCTACGAACAGGTGCTATTCAATGTATTTTCCCTGATAGGAATCGCCTCTTCGTTGACAAAAAAGGCTCGTCATGAAATGCTGTAGGTGAATTTTAAGGTAGTTATTTGCACATAGCAATAGATGGAGAAAAATAGCATTACAGTGATGGTAAGCTTTCCGTACCGGACAGCGAGATCTTTTTGCCACTGACCGACTGCATCGACGGAGGCTGCAAAGCGTGTGACAAATTGGTGAGGAAGCCATAATTTCGACTTGCTTTTGTTTGTTGCCGTCGTGTCAGAGAGCAAGAGAACACTTCGTATAATGTTATTAGCTATAAGAAGTTGCTAAGCGCGAGCTCGAAGCAGAGTCAACCCTGCGTTGCGCAGTTCGCAACGGCACGTTGAGAGATCCTCAACGCACGCTGTATGGGCGGAGACGCAGACGGCTCGAGCATGCGAGTGTGAATGTTCGCGCGAGAGAACGTGTCTAATCGGGCGAAACTGCGCAACGTGGCCGTTGAAAACTGCGCAACGCAGGGTTGACTCTGCCTCGAATGCGTTCACTTGAGGTTCAAAAAGCTGCGAAGCACTAATCACTTCGGCCGTATAGTTTTGCAAAAATAATGTGTAGAGGAACCTCTGACCATTGCTGCTCAAGGTATAAAATGAATAGCAGAGCTAACTTGACCTCCTCCGAACACAATGCAATGCCTCTACGCATCAGGCCAGGAAGACCTTCAAGAGAAGGCACTGGGCAGCTTTTAGCAGAATTCAGCGTTCGCTCATAATCGGACACCACTAGGAAGTTCGACATTTCCGTGAAGGAGAGCCTCGATTCTTGCGACTTTCTGCGGAATACCCTACATTGAGGGGCTGGATAAGCCTGTGCTTAAAGGACGAATTCACGATGAAAAAGCAACCCATTTCAAATTAACCTAGGGATGGTGAGTGGTACACGAAAGAAGGAAGAACCATGAGAAACGGCCCAGAACCCGAGAAATGGTACCCCTTCCTTGCCCGTTGATTCGAGCATTGATGCGACTCTCATCGCTGTGCCCTCTTCAACACTACGCTCTCTCAGCTATCTAATCACTCGCCACGTATTGAACTACGGCGAGTGATCAGATGATCGGTGGGCGGAGATCGCCGGACCCGCCAGCTTTGAGGCATGATAGGTCGCCGAGGTCAAATTTTTCCATGCGAATTGCGCGTCAGTTCGCACCCTCAGGAGGTCCGTGGGTCCCTCAACTAGGTCAGTTTCCCTTTCTTCGACCTTCATTCTAATCGTGAATTCCTCCTTTAAAGCGAATCACATGCATTATTATCCTCAAAGCAGGGAATATCGTCAGAATTCAGAACTTGCCCGAATTCACCTGATTGCAAGACTTCCCTCAAGTACTTTGTTCATGTATCAATATAAAGCGGTACATTAACCTCCCACCTCCCATTGGTATACCTAGTCATTTAGCTACAATTACCTCTGTTGGCATTGATTTCCACGGAAAAAGGGATACACCGTTACGCGCACGCTGTTCTGTTCTTGCTAATGCTCACAGAGCCCCACAGAAGGTGTGAGGGTGCTACCGCAAGTTACGGGAGCATTCTCTAGGACAAGCCTATGAAAAAATGAGAATTGCTCACGCACCCTAGTCTCCCTGCTCCCCCACTTACCTTAGAGCTTACCTGTAGTCCCTTTTTTTACCAAAAATTAGATCTGATACTAACGGGTTCAGATGCACTGCCACCACAGTGCCCCCGTATCTTGCGATAGCTCCGGTTCAAACTTTGCATGACCACACCATTACGGAAACACTGATCATCGCGTTCAGATATGCCAGCTTTGCGCACCCTGTATGAGTTCTACAACGTATTCCTTTCTAAGGAAAACCTTTCTTGAGCACGTGAATCGGTGCAGCATGAAATTGCTAACAAGCAATTACGACACTCCGGAGGTTAGTTAGAGGTCTAGTAAAGACGAAGAATAATCTTCGTGTACCCCATAATATCATAATTACAGTCAGTAACGAAGGAAGATCAACTTCTGCGCTTGTGGAAGCAGACGAAGTGCGAAAAAGATGCGTCATGGTGCTGACATGTTCATTTAACGCTCAGGAAAACATTTCATTAACAAACCGAGATCTGGAAACATTTCAAATACCAACAATTGAGTATTTTGTAGCGACAACAGGGATCAAGAAATACCGATTCAGTAACAACATTGTGAACAACCATTGTGAAAAAAGTAATAAGAATATTATGTACTGTTTCTAGAACGAAGTATCACTGCGGCGGGAAATAACAAACGATCCCAGTCGAGTCAAGGGCAGAATAGATGAACAAGTTTCGCAGAGGACGCTCATTCTCGGACATTGCCTAAAAAAGAACATTTTAGAATCCTACTATATGAAATACACTAAGAGATCGTGTGTGTATGACAAAAAATTCATAAATTCGTTCCCATTGATTAAAAGAGTCGTCAAAGTCGAAGGAAGGAAGGAGAACAGGATTGGTCGCCAAGGGCCGAACGTCCGTGTGGGTCGAATGCTCGAACGGTGGGGTCGCACTTGTGTTCTGGGAAGGGAGAGCGGTCGCATCGGTCGCATTGCGCGCTTTGGTGATCAGGGGCGCAGGGCATAGGTGCGTGTTTGAGGGAAAAGTGGGTGGAGTTTCGGAGTTTTAGGTAGGTTTTGGGTCCGTGTCTCAGAATCAAATACTATAGAAGAGGGAGAGGTCGCGGTGGAGGAAGGCTGGTTGTATTGGGGGGTCGCAACTGTGTGTTGGGAGGGGTCGCAACTGGACCCTCTCGAGAGGGGGGGGGTCGCAAAAATCCCGAAAATGTTCGAACGTGACGGTTGACCCTGATTGGAACACTGACGGTAGGTAACGGGAATAATGAGTGGCGATGAGAGAGTAGTGAAAGGATGTCGGAATGCATTGCACTTATGGTTAGTAATTATGTGTAGTGGTACGTGTACCTCTATGATGTGCGATAGAAAGTGATATCAAATGATAAGAACTGATAATGTGCGTCGTAAATGCAACCACTTTTGCCACTCCCTTCGCGTTGACAATAACATGTTTGTACTGCAGCTGATAAAATTGATAGGGCGTCAAAGTTTGAGTACTACCAATTTAGTTGCGGCCCCGAGATACTAAGAGCCTTGGCTCGTACATTGGTATGGTGGATTGGACCTGAACATGGATAGTGGATAATTCAGATTGGGATAACAACCGCTAAGCGCTGACAAGGACGTTCAGTGGGAGAACTACTTACATCATTACAGCCCTTGCGGTGACATAAAATCCTGGCAAATCTTATGTAACATGAAGGTCGGACGGAGAGACTGATGGTGAGCATAATGAACTAATGACAGATGATAAAGACTGACAAGTGGCGTCTGTTGAAATCATCATGGCAAACGATACTTTTTTTTTATTTTTTTTTATTGTGTTTTTTTTTTTTTTTTTCTGCGGTATGTGGCCTAATGTTTGTGGTGACAGAGACGTTATTGCAGAAACATCTACTAATAAAATAGCGACAATTGAGGGTGCACCTAGCTCAACTAAACCAGGTTCTCAGCAATGAACATGTTTCATTCCGATCCTTTAGCATGAGAAGCAAAGGATGTTAAGCCGCTGAACTATCTGGAATTGGACCAGTGGTGAATTTCCATCAGAATTAGATTAGACACTGATTGGATCACATTTCATTTCCACACCTATGCTAATAACGGAAAAGTCTATGGAACCGCTAAAATATCCGAATTCGATATCAATGCTAAATGTTACGAAGTCATGATAATAGACCAGTTCTATTCCGCATGCTACTGCGCGCAGCCGCGACAATCTTCAAAGAAACTGACAGCCTTTGTGCTTCACCTGAGACATCTTGTGAAGTAAATTACCTTTGGTTTTTTAGTCACGTGACTTGATAGTTTGGAGGTATCTCAGTTCCACTGAAGCCCAAAGAAGCTAGCGACTCATTCAAATACGTGCGGGTTAGTGAAGCCATGAAGCGAGCAGTTTTAGGAAACCTGTCCAAGCACGCCCTTTCCTCCTCACGAAGGGAGAAAGGTCTTCTCTGAAGGCTTTATCGGCAGTTTCCTTTTTTTAGTGAACCGCCATCCGATCAGGGTTTGCTGCTTTACCAAGGTGAACGATAAAAAACTACTAGAAAATGATGAACAGAAAATTTAAAAAAAAATCAGGAGGGAACAAATGATTCAAACTCGTCGTAAGAGCCGAAAAGCATTTATTTTGGGGCAGCCAGCCCGAGGTAGGCGTGTAACTGGTATCTGTCTTTCCACAAGAAAAAATTGCAAACCTTTATTGCCTCCTGCCCAGCTAGTCCTCCAACAATAGCACAAACTGGTGAAAGCTGCGGCCCGAAGAAACTAAAGTAAAATGAATGAGCAGTGAATTAAAGGCAAAATTTACGTAAAATAGCAACCCATTTCAAATCAAGTTAAGGATGGTGAGTGGTACAAGAACCATGAGAAACGGCCCAGAACCCGAGAAATGGGACCCCTTCCTTGCCCGTTGATTTGAGCATTGATGCGACTCTCATCGCTGTGCCCTCTTCAACGCTACGCTCTCTCTCTATCTTCATCATCGCCACGTATAGATCTGCGGCGAGTGATTAGATAGTGGTGGGCGTACCGCGCCAACTGCGCCAAGAGTGAGCCATGCTAGATCGCCGAGGACAAATCCCTTTCGCTGCCAACTGCGTGCCTGTCCGCACCTTTAGGACCCCACTAAGCAATTTCCCCTTCTTCGCCCTTGGTTCTTGTGTGGAATCCTCTACCATGAAGCCTCGATAGTGTAGCGATCGGCCGTCATCTAGGTCCCCTGTCAGGATGGAAAGTGATCAGAATTAAATAAGACAGCCTGTCCACAATGTCAGACAAGAACATAAATACGCAAAATTAAGTTAACTTCTGCCACCTACTACCATGAGGTGATAGTACAGAGTTTAGACAGAAACCTTCCGTAGTGATCCACAAAAAAGGCCAAGCGGTTCGTAATGCAAATGGGACACGGCTAGACCAAAAAACTGACTTGGATCTTTAATTCCACTAGTTTTATAGTATTTTGGCATACACAAGCGCGAATGACGAAAACATTTTGGGACTAACGGTTAGATGAGAAACGCTTACTAGTGGAACTCCTCCGGCTGAACTGACTGTCTTTCAAGCTCGTGGTTAGCTGCCAATACCTACAAAAAATGCATCTTATACGATCAAAACTGAGCATGTTTCCTAGAAGTTCTCACTTCTTCGTTCCACATCTTTGTAAGAAGGGTGACATCCCCGTCTTCATCGCCTGTCAATTTCTTCTCCTTTTGTGCTCGCAACATAGCTGAAAGAAAATTCTCCAGTGAATTCGTATTGAAATTCATAAGAGGTGGAAACAACCTTTGAGGGGGAAATAACTGCAAGGGATGAGACGCCTTGACTTTCGAAGCAGCTGCTTCTTCGACCAGTCAACGTTGAAAGCATCTTCGAAAGATGGGTATTGAAGCTTCTAAATTGCTAAATTGCATACTATTCCGATCGCATTTCACTAGTTGCTGCCACAATTTCACATTCATTTCTGCAATATATTCATCCCTCCATTCCTGCTATAATAACCGAACAAAAGTCCGACATGGAAGGGCTTGGACAGTCCAACCATTCAAAATGGTATGTGTGCCTACATACGTGCCTCAAGACGCTGATTTCGAATCTGTTTTCATTATCTGCAGAACGACTTCTCGAAGAAGTTATGAAGCAGGAATGGGCACCGTTGTTGACCCTGGCTCAAAGGCAAGAGGTCGTAGGACCGACTCCACGCGAGTCAGCACTTTTGCTCCCTCCAGAAAATAAACTGGAAAGGCTTTTACATATTTCGCTTAGAAGAGTAGAGAATGGATTCCCATTGGAACTAATCCCACGACATCATACCAGGTTCACTACCGCTGCACCTTCCTGCTTAATAATAACTTCTCCGTGTAACGCGGATAACGAAAAGCAAAACTGAATCCAGATTCTCGAGGCACATATACAGGCACACTTTTCAATTCAATCGCCGGACTGACCATTTGCCTTTCCTTGTAAGTAGAGGGGTCGGATCACGGATGTTGTAATGAAAACCAACAATATATCGTGGTAAATTTTCCAATCATCATATCCATTGTCAACAGCAATAGCTAGGACGAAATGGCACATAAAGGGATCAAAAAGTGTGAAAGCTTACTAGAAACTTATCGCAGAATAGGTTCTAATATAAAAAAAATAGTGATTTAAGATAAAATACCAGGTGTACCGGTTGCTGTTTGACGTAGTGAGACTTCATATGTATGATAAAAAAAAGACAGCAAACCTTTTTCTCAAAAACGTCCTCAGAATCGAGATCTACTGCTTCCGGCACGCTTGACGAACCACCTCCATCTTCATCATACACTGTATTTTGCTTCTTTTCAACAGCACTGCAAGTCTATTTGTTTTTCACGCACTTCTTTATACTAATCAAAATACTATGTATCAACTGTTCCAGCTGTCTCAGCATACAGATTCAGGCATCCTTTGGTGCGCTACTACTGTAAAGTCTTCACAACCCACCTGAGAAACAGATGATCATTGAAATCGAAGAAGGAATATCCCATCCAGCCGAAAACACTACATGCAATGAAGCTGAAAAAATTAAAGAATAGGATCACGTAAGGTATTGGCACGTGTATTGCGCGCGCTACGGGTGACGTCTTTTTCAGTATTAGTAGAGCAGTGGAGCACGGGTGAATTCTGGCTCTGACAACAACTGATTGCGCTAATCCTGCCGGGCTCCAATTATCAGCATTACTGATATACACGTAAAGTTGCTACAGCTGTACTTTCCAACAGCTGCATTTTAAAGTTGTGTCATTTGGGACTACTTGAACCCGGTCCTTTAAGCCGCCTCAGATTCATCTCTCGTCTGCGCTCTCTCACCTTATCAGCGGCTCATGACCATTGTGATCTCACACATTCAAACTTTTGCCACACTGTAGTTGGCTCACCCACCTCGAAGTCCCTCCCTCCTACAAGGCTTAGTCCTGA